AAAAAAAAAAAAAAAAATAGTGTGATTAATTGATATCATATTTGCTTATTTAAATGTCTGATCACCATATATAATAATTGACTTATTTTTGTTCCCGCGAGGTTCGAAGCAGATTTAGCACATTGTCATAATACGTAATAACCTTAATACATTTCTAAGTATTTGAATTCGGAATTGAGATATTTCCGATCATGTGTAGTAATATGTTTAACTTACCTCGAAAAACAAAGTTGAATAAAATTGAATTATCAGCTATCAATTTATACACAAACTAAACTAAAGAATACAAGTACAAAATCGAAACGAGATGAAGTCACATTCCTAACACACTCTTCTCATAAAAAATCTTCTTAAAAATCATTTCACATGCATTAAGATAGAAATTAGAATAGTATTAGCAAACATTCAACACAAAAATCCATTCATCTGATTTGTTACACTCAATTTGATTTTGAATCGAACAATTCAAGTTGAAGCCTATTACTCGTGGGAATGATACTTTCAACTCATTAAATCTATTACTTGTTAAAAATCTCGTATGCTTGTTAAATTTTCATCAAACAATACCCATGAAGTATATCGTCCATAAATGTGACATGATCTCAATAGAATACGAATGATAGACCAAAAATATAATCATCTACTCATATTATACATACGAACACATGAAAAATAAATTATAACTTGGGACATTTCTTCTGGAAAAAGTATAACAGAGAACTTCATATAACAGCCGGCCGTTTTGGCCCTATGCTTTGTCTTTGGTATAGAGAATTTGATATTACTTTCCTGTTCATTAAGAAGCAAAGAAATATCAAAATTAAAATCAAGATTATAGAAAGTTCTAAATGTGCCCTTGGAAGAAGCTCAAGAACTTTAAGACTTGTCTTGTTCTCGAAGTAACAATCGGAGTCGACTAACAGTTGACTGCCCGGATTAGTGGTTTCAGGATCAAGAACATCAAGAACGAAATCTATCGTCATTGCTGCTTCTCCTAGTACAATACAGGCGCTCTTCGATCTGTATCCAGGCATTGTCGCAATAACTGCAGAGAATGGCAAGGTTTCAGGATACAATAGTTGAATTTAAGAATATAGAAGAGGTGAAGGTTCAAATTTCTTTTTCATGTCAATACCTTCATATTTCTCTCTGGGAGCTAGCAACCGGTGGTAATCAGCAAATGGTTTACTGGCTGGAATCTGTCAAAGAATGAATTATTAGAAATTATCGCTAGAACAAGAGTCGGATCGAGCACGCAAGTTTCCTAAAGTAGAAAAAATACTAAATTTCGACTTCATAAATTATGGAATTTATGAAAAATGTAACAACAACAATCCATCGAACTCAAAAATCATGAAGTGTTTACCACTAAGGCACTAACACGCTCCCCATTAATCAAAAGAAGAAGAAAAAACAAAGGTTGAAATCCCGATGGGCTGTGAGATTTTTAGAAAACTAGGCATAAATAACAAATCTATCCTGAGCCTTGTTTTTCTTTTAATTTTTGTCCTGTACACCCTTCTTTTTTTTGTAGAAATACCTTCCTTTCTCAAGAAGGTAAAGAGGTGAAATAGTCGAAAATATTATGGAGAGAATCCCATTCCCTATTCCAGACTCCGGTTAAGGTTTCATTTGCCAATTTCTAAAGGATATTCTAGTTTGAGGCTAATGGTTTTAAAGATGATGAGAATTTCCACACTCCCGAGTTCCCAAAGATGATGGATGTGAACGATTAGTTGGTACTTAAAGGACATTTTGCTCCCAGCTCAAAACACTTCTCACTGTTTACTCCCCAAAACGACTAAATATTACATAACACATCAAATCTGATACTGTAGCTAATCACCTACAACTCCTGTGTTCACAGTTGCTCTTTCTATCAATCCCCCGCCCTTGCCTGGTTTAGTACGCACATATAAACAATTTTGCAGAAAATCCAAAAATCCTAATTCAATCTCTCACCAGTCACCCCCACCAATTATCATACCTTTAATCTCCATTGAACATGATGTGACCACAAATGAAGAAAATCACCAGGAAAAAAAGCTGATCATAGAGGATGCAAGTGTTATCCAAAATAATTGGGAGTAAAGCATGTGTAGATGGCTTTACAGTCCGCCATCATATCCCAAGGCTCAATCCAGGACATGCGGTAGATACTATCAAGTGCTTATTAAATGCCAGCAGCCCTCAACAAATCAAATTCCGAAGAACTGACCAACACGAACACAAAGGCTATATTCAATTAAGAATCAAAGACCTTTTCAATCACCTAATGAGGAATGTACGGGGCATATCTTAGGAGGTTGTAGAGCTGCAGCACTAAGGTGATTGTGGAATATTATCTTTAAAGTATAAGACAAATATAGTGTCACAGCACTGAGGCAATGGTGGTACCAAGACATTCGAGTAGCGGTAGTTTTATGCAAGCGAGAATCTTC